TACATTTCTCTTGCATTCGTTTCCCTTGCCATGTGGTAGTTTGAATGTTATTGAGTATTTTGTATAATAGATATGACACACTGAAATCCTAATACTAAGACTTCTATTTATACTAATTCGACCCTAACGGTCTCGCTATAGGATCATGCCACGTTTCGAACATGCAAGACAATGCTTCTTTCATCTTTCCACGTGTCCCCAAATGCTCCAACACATAACTTTCAAACTTTGAAAGTCCCGCTCCCATTTGAATTTAAAATACTTTGGTGTTTCTCCGTTTCGAACGCTTTTCCCAAACATAGCCTCGCTGTTGTTTCGAGACTCCTTTGGATATGTTCTCATAATTGCCGCTCGAAGCTTCAAGCTTTGACACACTCATTCGAAACACTGCTTCTGCAACTTCGAAATATGGCGTTTAATTCCATTTCGATCAGAACGTTTAACTCCTTTGGCTTCTAAATAACATTATCAAAATCTTCAGCCAACAGAACCCCTCGAAGAAACCCTCCTCTTTGAAGCAAGGGGGCAACCCGAAGGACCTTACGGCGCTGGAATCCTCGCCGACCGCTGGCCCACTTTCTACCCGGTTCCTTTTTCTTTGTATCAGGTCGACATGTGGCTCGACCTCTTGGACCTCTGGGATCTCTTCCGAAGCATCCCCCGAGCTAGGCGACGAATCCACCCTCACCACATGAGGAGCGCCCAGACTATGCGGCGGGCCCATCCTCGTTGCTTGGGGAGCCTTCACCACCCTCCTGCCTCGCCTCTGGTCACAAGACAGCTTCAAGAGTCTCTCCCGTCGCCCGGCCATCGAACCTGCACAAAATAAAAAACCGGGTTAGTGTCGAGCAAATAAGCAGACAAATGACAAGCAAAGAAATTCAAGTAATAAACGACCTAGCAGACGAGCAGCCTGCCTGAATGTCTGGCACTCCACGAGTGCCTTAGTATCGATCGGTCGGGCCTCGAATGTCGGATAACCCTCCTCGTCCAGGACATCTTGCCCCTCCCTCGTAGCCCACCTGGCGGGGTGGAAGCTATCAGCGTACCGACAAAGAGTGTTATAAGCTTTTTCATCCTCGGAACCCATGTCGCCCGCAGAAGTATGATAATACCCAGTTCCGTGCTCGTAATGCCTAGAAATCCAATGCACGGGGAACTTGGCCGTGCGTCCCAACACCGGATACCCGTCGTTGTCTAAAAGTGCCTCCCCGTCATTGTCGCTTACCGACGCTTCATCCTCGTACAGGGACTCTAAAGCGGCTGTGGTAACCGGCCTCACGACATACCACTTGTCTTTAAAACCCCGCACGGAGTCCATGTACATCTTGAATAGTCTCCTCGACTGTTTCAAGGAGACCCAGCTGTGCTTTCCTCCCCGGGACTGGCGCTGCAGATGGAAGATTCTGAAGAAGAGAGGTATAGTCGCCCTGATCCTCAGAAAACGACAGGTCAGCTCAAACGCCCGGATAAAGGCGAGCGAGTTCGGGTGTAGCTGCGACGGGTCCAGCCCCAAATGGGCGAAGACCCCGGCCTGAAAGTCGCTGAAAGGCAGCTGCAACCCAAGGTCTTTGAATGCAATTTCGTACATGGGGAAACTGTACTCGGGGAACACCGAGCAAATCCGAGCAGTGGAGGTCGGTCGTGTAACGACGAAATTCTTTTGAAAATCAGGCTGGCCGTGGCTCGCCTCAAGGACAGCGTATGGCCTTCGGCTACGCCGACTATAGATCGAGGCGATTCCTCGTGGCTCGGCGCCCACCCAGTCCAACAGAGGGTCTTCTACGGTGTCGATCAAACTCACAGCCTCATCGGCACTTTGTTCCTCCCTTTCGGGGCGTCCAGAAGAGCACGGCTCGTCCGCCATGGTTACCTACAGAGCACAGGAAACCAGTCAATTGGGCGCGAAACCATACGCTCGTCGTAACGGACAAAATGGAGTGCGTGACAAACCACGTCGCTCCACGCACGACCACAAAGTTGGTTTGAAACAAAAATAGCAGTCGCCTCCCCGATTTCCAGATACCTCGACGGGTCCTTCTGCAAGCCGCCTAAACAAACCGACAACGCGGTCACTCATAAATACGCCGACCCGGGGTATGAACATGGCGAGCAACATCATAAAGCCTAAAGCCAGAGCCATGAGCATACCGGGCACGATCATGAATTAGGCGCCCTGGATCATGAAGACCCCGGGCAGCACTGCAAATTATACCCTAAACCATGTGTCTACCGGCCACGAGCATGTGTTTGCCGACCCCAAGCATGAATTTGTCGAGCTAAACATGAATTTACCGGGCTAGTCCCACGCGCACAGCCTCTAAAACGTCTAAAACGATGAAAATCATGCATCACAACAGAAAAACAGAGAAGATAAGTCACTTACTTGGAATCAAGGAGTAGATTCGGCAACGGAGGTAAGGAATCGGTGACGGAGATCGCGGCGATGCTATGAGAATCTGGAAAAACAACAGCAGCAGTAGCGCGAAGAGTAGTAACGCGTTATGGGGCCCAAGGATCCTATTTATAGTGATGACGTGGAATACCAAACGTCACCCCGGGCAACCACAAAGTTTCTCTCCTCGACGCACGACCCCCTAGGTAATAATGACCCTATCCTCATAGGGTGGCGGCACAGTTCCCAAAAGATACCTCGCGTGCTCGACATACGCGTGCCGTTGAGGAATCCCCGAGCATTCCCCGCGAAGGACTTGCCCCCGAGCACGATACGGGGAAGCCCCCGAGTACCCCCACGAGGAGCTGCGTCTCTGACCCGGGCACGAGGCCCCGAAACGGAAGCAGCCTAAGATCAAGCCATGGCTCCTAACCCAAGGAACCACGACTTGGGGGGCTCCTGTTCTGGACTGGGCCCGATTGGCCTAATAGTATTGATAAGGCCCAATCCAAACGGACTTGCTGGGGGCTACGCCGACCAAAGGATCACAGTCGTGCCCGACGTGCTCCCTGGGGCTACTTGCTCGAGCTCCTACTATCCAGCTCGACCTAACCTCGATCACCCCTCTTAGGGCAGACTCAGTCCACTGCACTCTCAACGGGACTCCAAAAAGACCGCGTCTCTGTCCGCCCGCACTTCACGCAGAACATCCAGGGAGGGGACCACGTGCGGGTTCCTACTACGCACGTAGAACTTGGCAGTTCCTCCATTGGGCCAAACCTGCCCGGCCCAATGAAGGAACCTTGGCCCAGCGCTGTGGGCTATAAATACCCTCTGTTTCCAGAGGGTCAGGTATTCATCATTCTACCCATACTCTTACTATTGCCTGCTCGTGCTCTTACTCACTTCAGCATCAGAGTGTCTTCCAGGTACCCCCCCACCTCGTTCAAAACTTCAGCTCGGAGCCAGCCGTGACGGTCCAAGTCTGATCAGGTTAGATCAGAAATAGTATCCATTGGGTCTCAAAACGTATGAATATCTTTAGATTATTTTTATTCACCTAATAAAATTTACATCCATTAGTATTTACCTCATTAAATTTACACTGATTAATATTCACACAGATTAAATATTTTAGTTATAAAATTAAATAATTATTTTGAGTTTATATAAATTTATATTCATTTTTAGTTTAACGGTAGTAATAGTGATTTGATTATAATAACATTTTTAATTCAAACCGTATTTAAAAAGTAGAGTATATATAATCATCTGAAAATATTAAAATTTTTTATACTTTATTTATAAAATTGTCATCATATTTTTTATTTACATCCATTTTTAGTATCTTATTAAATATATATTTTAAAATTATATTGTTCTTTTTGTATTAGTGTTTCCGTTACACCATTGTCACCTCGTCCATAAAATTAAGGTCAAAGTTCTGTTTTAATTAAGGGTGTTCAAAATCAAACTGATTCAATAGAAAATACAAAATCAAACCGAATCAAATCGAAACTGTAGAAAATTGCATTTGATTCGGATGTGTTTGAGTCATTTTTTAACAGAACCACGATGTTCGATTCGGTTTGCGATTTGTATTTTGTAAACTAAACTAAACTAAATCAAATGCAGTATCTTACAAAATCTTATTAACCAATATATATATATATATATATATATATATATATATATATATATATATATATATATATATATATATATATATATATATATATATATATATATATATATATATATATATATATATATATATATATATATATATATATATATATATATATATATATATATATATATATATATATATATATATATATAATGTTTGTAGAGAAATCAGTATTTATTATGTGTATATTTTATTGTATGATATTTATTTTAATTTATATATTATCAAAAAAAATATTATTCATTTATAAATACTATTTTCACAAAATATATTTTAATGTATTATTTGTATGATTTATTTAAGAATGCAATTTCATATATATCATTCTTTAGATTTAAGATAAAATTATAAGACGTAATTTTATGTATCAAATTATAAACTTATTTTGATAATTATAACTTTTTTTATGGTAATGTACAAACGATCAAACACATAATTATATTTTCTTTTATATGTGTATGTATGGCTCAATAATTTTTTTATAAAAAACTGAATAATCGAACCAATTCAAACCACATTAATTTGATTTGGTTTGATTCGATTTTATTTTTAAAAATCAACCAAGTCACACGTTTTTATTCTTGCGAATCGAGTAATTTTTAGCTTCAAAACCGCTCAGACACTATGAACACTCCTAATTTCTAACTGAAATAAAAGTCTATCTTCATAAAAATATTAGATCATAGGGTGAAGTCTAAGGGAGATTTTACTAGGATGAAGTGTAAGGGAGATTTTAGTAGGGTTACTAAGTTTATTTTAAAAGTCTTATTTTTAACACTAAGTTTTCTTAAACAAAGATTAGAATTGAGATGTATCAAATAAGCTGGCCCTCCAAATTCACATTCTATATATATAAAATTGAAAAACCAACTATCCTCATTCATAACTTGGTACCAAAACTTCACTGAACGTACCATGGCTTTTTATCGCACAAACCTCCCAACTCACGAAGTATTCTCTCTTGTTTCAATCATCACTATCTTGTTAGCCACTAATATAAACTCAGTTCAAGCACATTCCTTCAATTTCACCAACCTCACCCTTGGTTATTCTAATATAATCTATCAAGGGGATGCCCATGATTTAGCCAGTGGTTACTTGGCACTGACCAACAGTACACAACCAGCTACAACTTTCCCAACTACAGGCCGTGTCTTATTTAAACCACCCATGACCCTTTGGGACAATGCTACTGGCCGTGTTGCCAACTTCGTCACGAACTTTTCGTTCATTGTAGAGGCCCATGACAAAGCTGCTGCGACAGATGGACTGATCTTTTTCATTGCACCACCGGACACTGTGATTCCGAACAACTCAAACAGTCTGTATCTGGGAGTAGTCGATGGTAAAAATGCAATCAATCAATTCGTTGGTGTAGAGTTTGACCTTTATCCCAATTCTTTTGATCCCTATATGAGACATATTGGAATTGATGTCAACTCTTTAATTTCGATGAAGACCGAAAAATGGAACTGGGTGAGTGGTTCATTGACTAAAGCAACCATAAAATATGACTCTCCTTCAAGCACGTTGAGTGCTGTAGTCACTAATGAGAATGGACAAAGCATTACCATTGCACAAGTTGTTGATTTGAAAACTGTGCTCCCCAACATTGTCAGGGTAGGACTATCTGCAACTTCAATAACTGGTGTAGCACACAACATCCATAAATGGTCAATCGTAGCAGACACGGTAACAACAACAAGCAGTGTCTCAGACATATGAATAATGTTGTTGCAACCTATGCTTACTAGCAGCTTGTAATAAAGACCCTGCTGACTAGCAGCTTGTGTGACCTGTGTGTTATTTCTTTTAAAATAATGACCATGTTTGAACTATGTTTCAGTTAATATTAGTTGCTATATTTCGAATCTTTTAATATGTTTGACCATAGTTTTCAATTGTTGCTCAGATAATGGTAGTCGCTGCAATGCTAATTAATTTGAGCTTGAAATTTTAATGTTTAAATCTAACGTAGTGTTTACTTGAATTTGAAATATTGTGTTTAACACATGTTCTACGTTCATTCATTTTCTTACATTGAGAACATTTCATTTATATGTTGTCAAATTTTAAATATTAATTAAACTATTATAATCCATTATCATTTTATGACAATAAAGTTGTGTAGAATTACCATTAGCACAACTTGATCTTATAATAAGACATTACTACTACAAGAAAAAGTTATTATGTGATTTTGTGACGTAATAATTATGTGGTAAAAAAAAGAATTGTGACTTGATTATCAAGTTGCTATTTATTTTTAATATTAAAATATTAAGTCTGTCGCGTTTATATGGGAAGTCATATTTTATTTTTCACAAATAAAGTTGTGATGTAGTAATCACGTGTCAAGTTAAAGGTGCACGTGTGAAAACTGTGTTTGATTCAAGTTAATTTGTTTTTGATTAGGGTTATCTAGCGGTTGTTTTTATGTCTTATCATACACGTCTAATTACTATATAATTTTTTTAATTAATAACCATGTATTAAAATAATATTTCGCAAATAACCGGGTTTCGGAAAAAATTACGCAAATAACCATGTTTCAGATGGCTCCACAAAGGAGGAGCCATCTCACTTGGCGCCTCCACCTAGGGTTTTGCCCTAGGCGCCATCTCACTTGGCGCCTCCCTTGGCTTTTAGCCAAGTGAGATGGCGCATGCTCCTTAAAAATGAGAGGAGGCGCCATCTCACTTGGCGCCTAGGGCAAAACTAGGGCAAAATGCTGTTTTATAAATAATTCGTCTGTTTCTTCGAAATTTCTCACACTTTCTCGCACTGTATTTTTATTTTGTACTCCGTTATTTGCGTAATGACGTCGCCTATGATTTCTAGCAGAGATGGTTACGTTATATTCTTCGCCACGAAACCTGCGATGAAAATGAAATTCTGTGACATTCACTCCATGGAGCGTCTGAAGCGGGAGTTGATGCGGTGGCTAGATGGAGACATCGCGGAGGGGGAAAAATTCGAAGGATCCAACGAAAACGAACAACAACCTCACATGCGACAGGAAGACCTAATGTGTGGTTGGAGGAAGTCAAAACAGACAGTGATGTAATGCTGATGATGCATGGGTCAGATGAAATTGTGTTAACAGTTGTAATTTCCTAGATTGAATATCGTTAATTATTGTTGTACGTGTTTTATTAACTGTAGCAAAATCTGTTAACGGAAAACCCTAATGTTTACAACACAAATATTGAAAAGATTTATTGTATTACAATATTTATGTGGTCGAGCCAGACGCCCGATTCGGACAGTTTTTGCGATTGTGTCCGACCTGACGGCATAAACCACACTTTCTTTCCAACCTGTCAAGATCGTCCATTTCTATTGTGATGCGCCTACTTTTGGGACGACCCTTCTTGTTCCTTCGCATTTGGTCATTGTGCCAAACTATATCGCCGTTGTATTCAGGCCAATAATCCGGTTTTGCCACCAAAGGAAAGTTGTTATTGTAAACAGTGAGCAACGTTTCAGATTTGTAAACATTTGACAGCAGTTGAAGCGCGTCTTGATGGGTATGAGCACAAGCGACAATGACATGAGAGCAAGGCATACGAAATGCTTGAAACCTGCCACAATCGCACCATTGAGAAGGTAAAATGACCCTGTATTCTTGTCTTGGCAGGGCTTCATTGTGGTCGATTGTCTCTTTCACAATGAAGTTGTGGCTGTGTCGGTCAAACCGTGTAACCATGTGAGTGTTGGCTTTAGCACTTTCAGCCTTAATGCATTTCATGCAGCTTTCACTCCATAGTTGTCCTGATTGCAACACCACATTCCACATTTCACCTCTTTTGGCAAATAACGCAGCCATCCTAAAATACGTAGATTTTACCAAGGCAGTGATTGGGAGGTTTCGTATGCCCTTGAATACCCCATTCATTGATTCAATAAGATTCGTTGTCATATGCCCCCATCTTTGGCCATTGTCGTATGACCTAGTCCACTTTTCCACCGGAATATTATCGATCCACCTACCGGCTTCTGGATTAGACAAACGGATCTCGTTGCGGTAATATTTGAATGTGGGTTGTGTCAATGCATATCCCGCATTCATAACCGCTTTCCTCAATGTTTTGTCCTTGACCTCCCTCGAGAAATTCTGGACGATATGCCTGACGCAATAAACATGCGTAGAAGGAGGGTCATGCCAACCATTTGCTGGATTATTGTAGGCACTTTCAATGGAGGCATGTCTGTCCGAGATCAAACAGAGATCTGGTTGAGGAGCCACGTGTGTCCGAAGATTTTTCAGGAAAAAGCTCCAACCACCACCGGTCTCCCCCTCGACAAGGGAAAACGCAACGGGGAAAATGTTGTTGTTGCCATCTTGTGCAACTGCCATCAATAGCGTGCCTTTGTACTTCCCATACAACCAAGTCCCGTCAATTTGTAGAATTGGTTTGCATGATGCAAACCCTGTGATGCATGGTTGAAATGCCCAAAACACGCGACTGAATATTCCGTTGCCATGCAGTAGACTACCATCTTGGGCGTACGCTGGCAATGTTTCCAGAACATAAACACTACCTGGAGAATACGTCTTGAGTGCATTCAGGTAGCGGGGAAGTTCTCTGTATGACTCCTCCCAGTTTCCGTACACCCTTTCAATCGCCTTAGTCTTTGCTAACCACGCCTTACGGTAAGACGGAGTGTAGTTCAAAACCGTGGTGATGTGGGAGATGATTGTTTTCACCTTCAAAGATGGGTCGTTGCTGACCAGGGGTAGGATTTATTGACAGATTAGATCATAGTTGAGTTTTCGGTGGTCCTGTGATTGAGTGGAACTTACACAAGTGTGGGTAGTCATGGAACCTATGACCCACCAGTCACCCCTTAATCTGTATGATGCGGTCAGCTTGAACATACAGTCAGGGTGAACACACTTGATCTTGTACCTTTCCGGGTTGACACGATTCACCTTAAAATCAACCGAGTTGAGCATGTGAAATTTTTTAATGGCCCTGATGCATTCCTCTCTGTTACGAAACTTTTCCTTCTCTTTTAAATTTTCATCCGACTGCATATACGGTTTGAAAAATAAGTCAGTAGAAGGTTCATCTCCGCCCATGTTGAAGTTTGTCATGTGCGGAGGTGGTGTGTAGATTTTGTCTGTAGGAATACTAGGGATGCCATCATCGTCAGAATCATCGTTCACCATTTCATCAAACTCTAACTCATTATCTTCTTCTTCATCATCAACTGCATCTACCTCATCTTGTTCATTCTCCAAAGGATCAACCTCCTGTGTCACCGGAGGCTCTACCTCCTGTGTCGCCGGATGCTCTTGAAGCAAAACGTACAACTCAATAGAGTCGTATCCAGAATAGACATGGCTGGAAATCATATTCTGTAGATCCTCGTCATCTTGAACTTCAACCTTATAAAAAATTACTTGGTTGTTTCCAAAAAAAACTGGATTCTGATAAAATATCTGGGACACCGGGCCTCGTTCAAGTTTGGCCTCCAATCGTTTCTTGAAGTACGAGAAATTGGCTTTCCCGTTGAAATCGAACGTTGTCGGTGTTTCTAAACAAAAACCTAACTGTGGGACAAATGTATGTCTCACTGTTGAAATGTGCTTTGATGACAAATTATGGTGAAGAGGCCATTGCGTAGAATTGTTTTAAGGTTTGAAGGTTGGAATGTTTGAGGTTTATTGATTGTATGAAGGTATGAATGCTGTAATGTTTGAAGGTTGAAATGTATGAATTTGATGACTGATTCGAAGGTTGGAAGATTTGACAGATTATGTGAATCAATGTTATGTTAAACGTAAGGCTAAAAATTTCAATTAAGTAAGGATGAAACCCCCCAAGGCTGCCAATAATATTACATGCAATAATGAAACCCCATAGGCTGCCACCTATCCTGGCCCTATTCTGCACATAAACATGTTTTTTGTAAGACTCCACCCATCAACTCCAATGGACTTGCATGCAATAAAGAAAGGAATCCCAAAGGCTGTCACGTAGCCTGAGCCTATGCTGTAACAAATGACACCTCTTATTCGCCAAATGGGGTGGCGACACCATTCATTTTTGTACTCTTTCGCCAAGTCCAATGGCGCCTCCCTTACTGTCCAATCGTGATATATGCATGGGCTTATGAAACCCCATAGGCTGCCACCTATCCTGGCCCTATTCTGCACATATACATGTTTTTTGTAAGACTCCACCAATCAACTCCAATGGACTTGCATGCAATAAAGAAAGGAATCCCAAAGGCTGTCACGTAGCCTGAGCCTATACTGTAACAAATGACACCTCTTATTCGCCAAATGGGATGGCGACACCATTCACTTTTGTACTCTTTCTCCAAGTCCAATGGCGCCTCCCTTACTGTCCAATCGTGATACATGCATGGGCTTATGAAACCCCATAGGCTGCCACCTATCCTGGCCCTATTCTGCACATAAACATGTTTTTTGTAAGACTCCACCCATCAACTCCAATGGACTTGCATGCAATAAAGAAAGGAATCCCAAAGGCTGTCACGTAGCCTGAGCCTATGCTGTAACAAATGACACCTCTTATTCGCCAAATGGGTTGGCGACACCATTCATTTTTGTACTCTTTCGCCAAGTCCAATGGCGCCTCCCTTACTGTCCAATCGTGATACATGCATGGGCTTATGAAACCCCATAGGCTGCCACCTATCCTGGCCCTATTCTGCACATATACATGTTTTTTGTAAGACTCCACCCATCA